ATCTCCTGGGCTCCCCGCGCCTCATCCACTCCTTCCTGTAGCTCCCAGGAGCTAACTCGAAATGCTAACTGCTGTTCTTTCTCAGTTCCTGGCAGTATTTCCCTGGGTTCTGTGAACTCTGAGCCCCACTACCCAAGGTGCCATAAGAGACACCAGGTCTGCCTGAAAAAATGTTTCCTTTGGATTCAGGCACTTGAAAAACAAGCCACATTAGGTCAGTGACACTATTTCATTCTTCTCATCAGTAAGATACTATGGCTGTAGGCAGTCCCCTCGGAGCCTTGGTCTTCTCCAGCATGGGGACATGGGATCAGCCACGCTCTCTCAGAAGGGTCAGAAGGGAGAATGTGTACGAAAGCCGCTAAACACACCGAAAAGCACTGGGGCAAGAACCGCCACCCCGGGCCTCCTTGACCGTCCTGACTGGGGAAAGACGCCTAGGAGCTACTGTAGCTGGAAGGACTGAAGGGGTGAGCGAGCCCAGGAGGGAAATACGGGGCACTGCTCGCCAGAGTAGAATTCCTCCTGCCCCATTACCAGTCCTGAAGGTGACCACATTTAACTGTTCCAAGTGGGCCCTNGGTCCAAAGCTTCCCCATTACCAGTCCTGAAGGTGACCACATTTAACTGTTCCAAGTGGGCCCTGTCCTGTCCGGCAAGCGCTGGGTGCTACACCACTTGTTCCTCTGAGCATCCTAATAAGAGCTCTCCCTTCCCAGGGCTGTTTCTCACACCAATCATNCCTGTCCTGTCTGGCAAGCGCTGGGTGCTACACCACTTGTTCCTCTGAGCATCCTAATAAGAGCTCTCCCTTCCCAGGGCTGTTTCTCACACCAATCATTCCTGGTCAGGGAAAGGCTGCAGGAAAGTGAGCTCTGAAGGCTCTTTGCAGGGTGAATTATAAAAGGAAGACTGAACCTCTGGCTCTTCAGTTCCGATTTCTAACTCACCAAAATTGGAGAACAGTTCAGAACCACAGACTCGTAGGCTGAAGGTGACCTTAGAGGTCATCTCATTCAACAGATCCTAAGACCCAGATCTACAGATGGTCTATCTGCAGAGGAGATGGGCGAAGGCCCACTCCTCGGCTCCGAGGCCAGGTTTCCTTCCACCAATCAAGTCCTAGTACTAATACAACAAACACTGTATGGAGCATGATGTACATGCACCAGGATGCTCACAGTACTCACAGAGGTCTGCATAAGACAACTGTCGACTGACACGAGGTCTGTGCAGTAAGGCCAGCCTGCGGATCGTGCGCCTGAAAACTAAGGGGTAGTGGGGATACTGGAGGAAGCCCCCTCTCCTGGTCTGGAGAGAAGCGTCCGGCTGGGGGAGGGTGGGGAGTGGGGAGAGCTGTGAGGCAGTGTGGAGAGAAGATGCTCTGGGGTAAATAAGGTCTCTTCCAGGGGTCAGGAGAACAGAGGGGGAGGGAAATGGAAAGGCACGCAGGACAGGACAGGAGACCATGAAACTGAGGTGTCAGCAGTCTCAAAATGACGCCTCCTTTTCCAGGGCTCCTAACATTTTTTGTTGTTGTAAATCCTCACCCAAGGGTATTTTTTCCATGGATTTTTAGAGGGAGGGAGGGAAGCATTGATGTGAGAGAGACACAATGATTGATCAATTGGTTGCCTTCTGCACATCCCCTGACTGGGACCAGGGAATGAACCTGCAACCCTTGACTAGGAATCAAACCCAAGACCCTTCGGTGGGCAAGCTGACGCTCTAACCACTGAGCATACCAGCCAGGGCCAGCTCATTTCAACTCTCCATACCCAAGCCTGTCTTCACATGGTCACCAGGCATCTACCTGAATGCAAACCAGAGCAGGTAACAACTTGGATATCTCCCTTCCCACTGCAGGCTGGACAGAAGCCCAGGGAGGCCCCCACAACACTCAGTGCAGTTCCCCATTACTGCTTTTGCACAGGCTGCTCCATGATTGTTCAGTTTTATCACTAGCGTGTCTGCCACGATCACTGTGAGCTCCTTGAAGGCAGGGACTGTGTCTTTGTCTATTAACCCTACACAGTGCCTGGACATGCAGGAACTCAGGAGCTGACCGTGCATGAATAAATGTCTCACCTGGGCCATCACCTCTTCTGGGGCCATCTCAGAGCCACTCCATCTGACCCCAGGTTTGAGCTGGACATGCCTCCCCCATGCTCTGTCGCACCTGTGTGGCTCTCTGGCTCTCATGACAAGACCTTTCCCTCCATATCCAAATTATCTGAAGACTCACGGAGTTGACTGACAACTCTGTGAGGGCAAGGACTGTCTATCTCTTCACCCTCACACCCATCACAATACTTAAACACCCTGGGAATTTAACACACACTTGTAGAATGTATGAACGAATGAAGGAAGGAACCCAAAGGGGCACCAAGAGAAATACTACTAGGGTAAGCAGTCTTCATCGCAGAAACCCAAGACTCTCCAGAGTGTGTCCCCCCATACCCCTCCCCCCCAGTGTCACACAGCTCCAGCCTTCCTCACAGCCCCGCTGCTAGGAGAGGACCACACGACACACCATCCACATTGGGAACAAAGATAGGGCGAAGCCTCCTCCCATCTTCCTGCTCTGTGGCACCTGTTGCTGCACCAGCAGCTGGTGAGCATTTTGTTTTGTTCAAAACAACAACAGAACACCATCTATGACAGGAAGCGACATTCCAACGACAATAAGAAAACTTCAGGCTCAATCTACAGCAGCCGTAAACCCAGAACATTAGCTGAGAGAGATGTGGAAGGAGCTGCTGGGGCCCCAAGAAAACACTGAAGTGTTGATTAGAAATTGCTCAGCCTGCGTTAAAAGAGAGAAGGGGGGAGGGAGAAAAAGAGCGGGGAGAAAGGGGGGAGAGGAGAGTGAACGTGTTTTTTCCTGGCGCTCTGACTCATTTTTAATCTGTCCTTTCCCTCCTCCCTCCCTCCCGCCACCCCTCCAGAGAACTCCTTGTGGGGGCTGCACTAACCGGCCTGCCTCCTCCCACGGCCTCCGTGAGGGGCGAGTCTGAGCCCTTGTCCTCCCTGAGCTCCTCGCTTCCCTCCCCCTCCCCCGCCGCCACTGTCGCCTCCACTCTGCCCAGGGTGACCGCAGCTGGTTGGGGCCCGGGAAGCAGAGCTGGGATCGGGGAGCCAGCAGGTGCGGTGGGACCCGGGCGCCAGCCTCACCTGCGGAGCACAGAAGCCCGGCCATCTGACAGCTGACGCCCGCTCGCTAACCTGTTGCCTGCTCCGGGCGGGCAGCCTCTCGGGGCGCGGGGAAGGCGGCGGGGAAGGGACAGACAAAACCAAACCCCTCCAGCGGAAACCTCAGAGGGCGGCTCAGGAGAGAGCCAGCAGCCCTGGCTCCGGGTCTGAGAGCACTGGGCTCTCGTCTCTGCTCCATCAGATATCTGCCCGCTTGTCCTGCGGGCCTCCATTGCTATAAAGTCCGAGGGCTGAACTGATGGCTGGGTCCCTGCCAGCGACACGATTCCACTGCAACAGAAGCCGCCAGCCATCCAGCCAGGGCTAAATGTTTCCCTTCTGCTCCCACTCCCTGCAAGTCCCTAGAGCGCCTCTGACTCAGGGACCCCTCCCCAGATGCCTGGCTGACTTCAGGGAGGGTGTGATACAGGCTCCAGGCCAAAGTTCCCGGGAACAAGATAACAGAGAAGAGGCAAACTGAGGACGTGAGAGTCAGTGGGGGGAAGGGGCAGGCCCTGGGAGGCCAGGGGAGGGGGAGGCAGGATCAGCCAAACCCTGAAATTACGGATGATTCATATTTGAACAGTGTGGGAGGGAGACAGTCAGAGCAGCCAGAAGAGGCTAACTCAGTGCAGGGTGCCCCCCAAACCCAAGAGAGCGCAGGAGCCAGTCAGGGCCCTTCATTTGGAACAGAAAAAGCCGAGGCAGCCAGAAACCTTCTTCTGAAGCTCAGGGAACCAGGTCTGCCTTTCCTAAGTGTATTTACCCTCTTTCACTGACTTGCTCGGATGTGCTAAATGTGTTCCCCTTTGCCACCGACTTGATTTTCCCAAGCTTCTGGTTGGTGCCCCCAGAGGGGACAAGACTTTATTTTGGGGTGATATTTTGCGTTTTCTCTCCTGCCCTTCACTGCCCTCATCCTGTCCTCACAACCTTTCTGATCCCTTGTTCTTTTCCTCCATCACTCCGTCTCCAAGGTCATTGTCTCAGACCCACCCAAACTACCCAAGCCTTCTGAACACCCTGCCCCAAGCAGGGCTACTTTGTGTCTCTCGGGGCTGGCCACCCTGCCTGGCCACCCGGTCCCGAAACACACAGAATCATGGAGGGGGGTAGGGACACCATGTCAGGAACAAGGGCCTTTGACAACCCCAGGGGGGTGGGAGAAAGTTCAGGAAAAGGAAGGGAAACCCGGAGGGCCCACCTGGAGGAAGTGGCGGCTGGGAGAAGCCCTACCTTCTGAGCATCTGGGGGTTATCTTTACTGGGAGGATGAGACCTGTTTACTGGGGAGAGGAAGGGTCCTCTCTAACTGTGGCATCACTCCCCACGGGTGCAAGTAAGAGGCAGCAGGGCCCTAAACCCCACAACCAGTGGAGCCTCCCGCCACCTCCCTCCTCACCGTCCTGCCTGAGTGCCCCTGGGTGCCAGCTTCTCCAGGGAAGGAATTAAGGAGACACTCTCCACCCCCACCCCACCCCCAGAAAACCAGCTTCCTTAATTAATCAGTTTCCCCGAGCTTCCGTTTTGTCCAGCCAGGCTTTCCCCAGCCTTGAAACTAAGGAAGAGCCCTTGTCGGGAGGGAAATGCAGGTTCCCAAGAACAATCTCGCGCCTTCGGGGTCGGCCGTCTGCCTCCCGCCGTCTCCTCGTTTTCCCGGCCCCGCACCACCCCGCCGGCCCCCCATCACCCTAAGGCTCCGCCGTCCCGCTCACCGCCAGCCTGCCCCGCAGCTTTACGCGCCGTGGGGGGAGGGGACCCCCGCGAGCATATGCGTGGAGTTCGCGGTCGGTGGGAAATGCCCCTTACCTGTCAGCCACAGGAGAGCGATCCACGCCAGCGAGACCCTGTCCATCTTCCCCAACTTCCCATCCACGCGAACGAGCACGCAAAGTGGGAGCGGCACGGACGGGGGCAGGGGCGGCGGCGGGCGCGA